GATAGCCAACACACGTACTTAGATGATAGCCAACACACGTACTTAGATGATAGCCAACACACGTACTTAAATGATAGCCAACACACATACTTAGATGATAGCCAACACACGTACTTATATGAGAGCCAATACTCGTACTTAGATGATAGCCAACACACGTACTTAGATGATAGCCAACACACGTACTTATATGAGAGCCAATACTCGTACTTAGATGATAGCCAACAGTCGTACTTAGATGATAGCCAACACACGTACTTAGATGATAGCCAACACACGTACTTAGATGATAGCCAACACACGTACTTATATGAGAGCCAATACTCGTACTTAGATGATAGCCAACAGTCGTACTTAGATGACTCGTCAACTCATAGAAAACGGGGCTCCCGGATCATTAAACGAGGGTTGTCATTAAAACAAATGAAATGTGGATCAAAAATCAATAATTACTTTCTTGAGGGGTCAGGAGGTCAAGGTCACAGAGAAGGGTCAATTAGCGTCTACAGACCCGCCTGGTCTTACCTTGAGATGATTTCGGGGCTCAGCGTCCCCGAGGCCCGGTCGTCGACCAGGCCTCCTTGTTGCGGGAATGGTCAACCAGGCTGTTGGACGCGGCTGCTAGCAGCCTGACGAATAAGTCATAGTTATATCGAATTTACGCCATTGTTCATACACCCTGTAGTGTATACCCCTTGACAGGCAGTATACACCCTGTAGTGTATACCCCTTGACAGGCAGTATACACCCTGTAGTGTATACCCCTTGACAGGCAGTATACACCCTGTAGTGTATACCCTTGACAGGCAGTATACACCCTGTAGTGTATACCCCTTGACAGGCAGTATACACCCTGTAGTGTATACCCCTTGACAGGCAGTATACACCCTGTAGTGTATACCCCCTTGGCAGGCAGTATACTCCCTGTAGTGTATACCCCCTTGACAGGCAGTATACACCCTGTAGTGTATACTTCTTGACAGGCAGTATACATCCTGTAGTGTATACCCCCTTGACAGGCAGTATACACCTGTAGTGTATACCCCCTTGACAGGCAGTATACACCCTGTAGTGTATACCCCCTTGACAGGCAGTATACACCCTGTAGTGTATACCCCTTGACAGGCAGTATACTCCCTGTACTGTATACCCCCTTGACAGGCAGTATACTCCCTGTACTGTATACCCCTTGACAGGCAGTATACTCCCTGTACTGTATACCCCCTTGACAGGCAGTATACACCCTGCAGTGTATACTCCCTTGACAGGCAGTATACTCCCTGTACTGTATACCCCCTTGACAGGCAGTATACACCCTGCAGTGTATACTCCCTTGACAGGCAGTATACTCCCTGTACTGTATACCCCTTGACAGGCAGTATACACCCTCAAAAGTTTACTTTAAGGGATCACTTCCCACTGGGAGACACCAGCTCAGTCTACCTCTTGGTATTTATT